ATCCTTGCCTAGCTTTGGAATAACTAGTGGCATGCGAAAGTGTTGTAAGGCTATAATTTTGTGAATAACATACGTTAAATAAACTAACGCTTTCATGGGTAAGTTTTTAATAGTTATGAATTTTATCATGTCCAGATGACTTCTTGTTTTTCAGTGATTTGGTAAGTATTTCATCCTTTGTGGACTAGTCATGTTACATATGCAGAACCGATCTATGACTAAACACTCACTGCAGTGTTTTGGTGGTCCGAGGTCAGACCTTACCTTATCCGTACCACGGCCGAAGTTAAAGCTTAAAACACCAAGTGCTATCGGCATAGGTCATTCAGCCTCCAACGCATGCAGCTTTAACCTAAACACACTCTCTCGCTCAACAAACTAAAAAACTAAACAACCATCCATACATTAACTTGTCTATTTACGGGTTAATGAAGTACTTGATATGTGCCATCGATGCCACAAATATTCTCGCTTATAAATATATTCTCAAGAAACAGTTAACAGAATACGTGTATCACCAAGCTTGCTACACATACAATAAGAACATCTGTAATAAAAATATCTATTTACTATATACAGAGATACCCGAAAGATAGATCTCATATCGGGTTCCTACACGCCCTCTATTTGGAGCCAAGGAATCTCTTCAGTGAACCGACTGCTATTTTCCAAGTATTCCCTTGGCTGATGCATTACCAAGCATCATAACTGGAAATACTCAAAGTATAGGAAAATAAATAAGAAAAGGAAAAGTTCAACTTTTTCAAACTGTCGCATCAAAACCACATCGAGCGACCCCATTCGCAAAAAGACTAACGAGAATAGAATAACAAATAAAAAAAGATCACAGATATCGAGAAATTATTAAAATTTTGGCTTTATTTCACAATCTTATAATTAGTAATATATTATATAAAAAAAAAATTGTTTAAAGGGCTCAGGGTCACCGATCTGATTGACTAAGGTTAAATGACCCTTTATCTTCTGATAATTCGGTTCCTGCACTTCGCTTTTTTCCCCTTTATATTATTAAAGGCACACGAATTAAATTATGTTCGAGACAAAATATTTTTTGAAAATAAATAATTAGTTAAACAATTTTTCATATAAAGTTAAATGCCAACACATGAAATTGAACATGGTAAGAAATGAAAAAAAAAAAATGTTAAATGTGTTATTGTACTCTTAAGAAAGTACGAATGTACGTGAACGTCTTATCAAAATTTACACTTCCCTTTCAAGCCTTTCAAAAAAATAATTCAGAGGGTTTCGAATAAGTTTTGTCAGTTTTTGGTCGTAATTTATAACGATTAATTGCATTTTTTTAAATATCAAAGGCAAGTAAAGAGGGAAAATTGCTAGATCGTCTGTTTAGAAGTGTTGTTGGAAATCGTTTGATGAAATTAAATTTTATCCTGCTTCAACTTTCTTTTTGTTCCTTTCGTTCTCAGTTTAATTTTATTTCCTTTCTGATTAATTCGTGCACGCGAAGAAGTTGAAAATCACTACAAGAATTCTTTTATTTTGACAATTATGATTAACTGCTAACGTGAACTTGTCTAAGCCAAAATCTGGGATACTAGGATTCTGCGTCGACTGTTTCCAGGTGCGGTCAAAGTTCTTATTTACTTAAATCTCCATATTCTTCCTGTTTTAAGCAAGCGGGAAAAGAAAAGATTCATTGATCATTTTCTAATCGTCTAACGAAGTGCTCTTGACCGTGGTACAAAGGTGTGAACTGTACAAATTTGAGAACAGTTTGAGTACAAATTCGGCGGATGTATTTTCGTTTTTACACCTCTTTTACAATACTTCTTGCGTATTCCGAGGAAATAAAACTTCGTCGTGTCGAAACATGTGTTAATGGCCTCTTCCTTTGATTAAGGTTTCTATGCTAAGTTTGTTAATTCAAATTTTTTGACAAGAAAAGAAATTATTATAGGCGCTGTTCCGTTAGACACTTTTGCCGTTGAATTAAAGAGGGAAAATTAAACAAGGGTTAATTTTTGAAAGACAAATTAAGAGACACTTAATTAAATAATATTAAATAAATAAATTTATAGTTAAATTAACTCAACCAAGATTAGAATGTACCCATCTTTGGTATAGACGAATTTCATCCAAGCATAAGACACAATATAATAAACTAAGTCATTACAATCTAAGTCACTACAAGTAAAACGCACACATTGACGCGATTCGAGAAGGTTAATTATTTATTTTTTTTAAGAGATGAAAGCTCTTCTAGATAAGGTGCTACTCCCTTGAACCCGAAGAAGATAGGAAGGAGTTCCTGAAAGATCGTTCAAAAGACGGATGACCTTGCTGAAACGGGAAGTGGGGCCGGTATAAGAGGACGATTGCTGACTACGACATCAGTCTTCGGAGAGCGTTAGTCTTGGTATCAGCAAGAGAACGAGATGGCATCGAAACCAGCTCTGTTCTGTGCAGTGTTCTTGGCCCTCCTACTTGTGTCTGTGAACGCCTTGCCCATCTGGTTCGACATACTGGCACCTTCGACGAGAAGACCTCGACAGCCGGAACGGCAGCCAAGAGACTACTACAAGTCCATGTGCAGAATCGTCAACCCGGACCCATACGCCTTCCCGGGTAAGGCGCCATTTCCCGCTGCGCCGTTCTGCCCCTACTGACCTCTTCTTTTTACACTATCTCAATTTTCTGACTGTGATATATTTTTTCTTAATTATGTAGATTTTGTAATAATAAAGCATTTTGCGTTTGCGTTTTTTTGTTAATCGTGTAATTTTTCATTTTTACAAAAGCGTCTTCTTTCAACTGTATGTTGCACCAACTCGTTGATTTAGTCTGAGACAGCCACAAGCGTTCATTGGAGTCTGAGAATTTATTTTTCTTTTATTCTGGGGATTTTGATGCTATTTTTTTATGGAGACAGTTACAAAGTACAAAACGAATTATTTAGAAGCAAAGTCAGACCAAACTAGCACAGGATCTAACACAAGTTTTGGGTTTTTTCCATGTACAGAAGGGACGAGAAATGATCTTGCACGAAATATCAACAGATATACACACCACAGTATTGCACAAAAAAGTTAACTCGTTATTTTACTGTCAGTATAATACAGTTATAATCATGAATATTATCACCTAGATTTATACTTCATATATGAACAATTACATTAAGCCAGAATATAATTTTTTCTTCTTTTTTAGAATGTTTTATTACTAAATTTGTAAAAACGAACTACTAAACTAATTTGTTAAACATTAGGTCTACTGGCTAAGGTAGAACACATGAAAAACATAGTATTTCCCTTTGTGTCTTTGCATCCAGAATTAAAAATTGCCAAGTCAAATCAACAAATTTCAAATTAAAAAACATTAATAAATTTATATTTCTGTATTAATTAAAATTGTGAAAATAATGTGATTTTGAAATTATCTTATAAAAAGTGAGCTTTTTGTTGTTATTTTACTGCAAAGGAAAAACAATAATAAAAACTACCAAAAAAAATTAACGAAAATTATTAAACAAGTGCTGTACACGAACCAGAACCTAATCTTAAAAAAGGAAAAATAGAAAAGGTTTGAACATTTGTAGGGAGATGTGCGTGTGTGTGAGAGAGAATGAGAAAGGGATAGAAAGCCAAAAGAAGAGAAAGAAAGAGAAAGAGAGAGGGAAGAAGGGAGATAAAGAAAGAGAGAAGAGAGAGAGAGAGAGAGAGAGAGAGAGAGAGAGAGAGAGACAGACAGACAGACAGACAGACAGACTGACACGAGATGGACTTACCGGAAGGAATGTCCCCCTCTCAGTTTCTTGAGAAGGTCAAAGAGGTCATCAACCCTAGACATACAAAAATAAAGATAGAAGGCATATGCACCACCTCCAGAGTCAATGAAGACGGTCATAGAGATGCCATATTGACTGACCCAGCCTTTCAAGGAATTGGTGTTAAACCAAGGTCCCTTGGAAAGCGGAATCCTAGAGTCATCCTTATAGGGTTCCAAAAGAAATAACACCGGCCGAACTAACGGAACAGCTACTAACAAACAACGAATTAGGCCCAGACTGAAAGGAGGATGCCCTGAGTCCTTTATTTACCGTCAAGTACGGTAGAGGTCCTCGCGAGTCCTCCCCTTTCGTCTCCTGAGTCATCGAGCTAGATTATCAATCATGCCAGGCTAGAGACTATGTGGAAGTAACACGATGTTACAATTGTCAAGGTTACGGCCATGTAGCTCCTGTTTGTCCCAACAAAGTACCCGTGTGTGTCAGATGTGCAGCTTCGCACAACACAAGGGAATGCAAAGAATCCGTTAAAAAATGTGTAAACTGCATTAAGATAGGAAAAAGCCATACTCATCATGCAGGCACCAATGCGAAGCACACATGAGGGCAATGATCCATCAAAAGGAAATGACAGATTATGAGGATGAGATTTAATTTTTTTCACCTCATTACCATTTCGCACCGACCACCCGGGAGCTGTAAGGAGCCGAAAAGGCTTAAGGAACAGTGCCCCGGGGGTCCCGTGTTGCGATTGGGTGACTTCTTTATTTATTAATTATTTATTTATTCATTTATGTATTGTTTTATTATTATTTATTTATCATTTTATTATTATTATTTAATAATAGGGAGAGGGAGAGGGAGAGAGAGAGGGAGAGAGAGAGNGAGAGAGAGAGAGAGAGAGAGAGTGAGAGAGAGAGAGAATATTCTACAAAGATAGGAAGCAGAAATGAGAAAATGAGATTTACAAAGAGGGAGGGAGTAAGGGAGAGTGTGAAAAAATAAGAAAATATTAAAGATAGAGGGAGGTTGTGAGAGAAATTCGATGTTATAATCATTAATTAGGAAATATTATTCCAATTAATAAATGAATTTCAATGTGTAAATAGTGAGAGTATATTATTAATGTTTGATATTCAATACTGAGTAAGACCACCTCTTTATTTGTTAAGTGGGCAAAGACTCAAAATTGTGAATAAAATAAAATTTATTTCTTAATTACAATTTATACACGTTAAATACAAAAGCGGAAATATATCACAGTTTAGGCAGTTTAGGAATTCTTTAGTTGAATTGAAATCGTATTTCACCAAGGTCGCCAGACGATTTCGTTTATGTTCTCTTTGTCTGAAGTGTATCTGAAAAAGACACGTCGGATTGTTTAACGGTTAATTTATAATCAAAGACAATATAGTACGATCAGATGGAAAATACCTTTCGAGGTAGAGGAAGGTATTTGGTTTTTGGCTATTTGAGAACAGGTAGGAGGAGAGTCGGATTTTTTCCGGCGGACTCAAATTTTCGTATGCGTCTATCATGGATTTGGCCCTTTCTTCGGCGTCTGCGAATCCTTGGCTGTAACCCTTGGCCGGGTTCACGAGTTTTCTCATGAAATTCACCGTCTGCTCGAGGATATCCGCTTTCTCCAGCTTGGTCGGACGCCCTTCGGGCAGGTGCTGCAATTAGTCAGTTTTTAACGATCTGTGAAATCAGTTTTTCAACGACGGAAAACCACGGTGACGTACCTCTCCTTTGTTTTGCAACAGCATCTTCTTCAGCTCTTCGAGGCAGTCGTTGATCCTCGCACGCCTTTTCTTCTCCATTAACGGTTTTCTGATCTGATACAAAAACAGTCATAACGGTTTTAAATACCATCAAATTTTCAAATAATAAAAACAAAAAATAAAATCTTTAGATCTTCTTATATTATATATTAAACACTGTAGGAAAAAAGGGAATATAACAATTAAGTTCCTTGCGTAATTTACAAATAATACAGCTCCAAGAAATCGATTTTTCGTTTTTATCAATTTCCTTCCCGCAAGCTGATGTACAATCATATTTTCCCCAAGGTTCTATCTCACAATAATGTTTTTATTTGATAAAATGAATATATTAATTACATTTCACAGTGTATCCTCAGTAATCTCAACCAACACATTTTATTAGACAAGACTAGCTAGAAACTGGGAAAACGGTTACTAGAAAACATTATAAAAAAAAAAATAATAGCTTACTACTTTCACGTCGTAATAAAATGTTTACGATCTGCGACCAGTGCATTCCTGATTATTTTAATATTAATGAGATGAACAGCCGTAAAATTTTTTTGAGAACGTAAACTGACGTCTGTCAATAGAAAGCTTGGGCTTGGAATAGCATAATAGATTTAATGTTATTTTATGATAACAAGTTTACACTCATTTCTTCATCAAACAATGGTTTTTTTGGCTATCCAAATTTCAAATATCAGCTCGGTACTGGAAAAAGCAGAATATAAAATTAAACTCAAGAATTTTCGTTAACAAATCTTTTTATTAAACCCTTTTTAATTTCAAATTATCCGCTTCTTTAAAGCAATAGAAAACTTAGGAAATGGCATGAAATATAAGCATATAACATTTCTGTATATATGCGATTTTTGTTTAAATATAAAATATTTGGGCTTTATTATACGGCCAAAGGAAAATTAATTACAATTAAAATTTAAAATAGTTGAATATATAAAAACAAAGGATTCTTCTAATATGAATTGGAGATTTGGGCTAAATATTGGGCTCTTATATAAAATACCATATAAATATTAAATACAATTCTCATTAAAAATTAAATATTAAAATAAGGAATTGGTCTATTATATAATGGTTAAAAAATTGTTTAAAAAAACTGGAATACACAGTGTGAATTTATCTTCTTCTAACTCCCCCCCTGTATTTTATTTATTTATTTATTTATTTTGGGAGGAGGTTTGGGAAAAATCCCAATACGTAAACTTTTTTTTGCTTAGTTAGCTTCTCATAAGCCAAAAGTTTTGAACCAACCTCCCAGGAAAGCGGGATACGAATAGGGGTTTAACTATTTCCAATGGCCAGATACTCATCAATGAGAAATCTTTGAAAGGTTTTTGAAATTATTTTTATCATAGTTAGGCTCTTATGTTACGTGCAAATTAATTACGATTACAATTTAAAATTATACATAGTTAAATACAGGGTGAATTGCTACTCGTGCTACAAACTTCTCCAGTAGATTCTTCACCCTAAAATGAACAAAAAAGTTCATATTGTCCATGGTCCGATTCTCNCGGACCATGGACAATATGAACTTTTTTGTTCATTTTAGGGTGAAGAATCTACTGGAGAAGTTTGTAGCACGAGTAGCAATTCACCCTGTATAAAAATAAGGAATTTTTCGACGTTTTTCCTGTTGAATTAACAATTTTTAACATCAAATGAACCCTTTTTTTAATATCAAATTAACCCTGTCTTTAAAGCAATAAAAAACTTAGAAGAAGGCATGAAACATAAGCATATAAATATTGATTTCTGTATATTTTTTTGTTTAAATATAAAATAATTGAATTATTTTACGACCAAATGAAAATGATTTAGAATTAAAATTTAAAACTATATATAATTAAAAATAAAATTAGGAATTTTTTCGATATATTTCATGTCAAATTATAACATCAAATTAACCTTTTCTTTAAAGTTATAAAAAAATTTAGGTGATGGTACAAAATAAAAGCAAGTAAAAAAATTCCTGTATATTTGCGATTTTGATTTAAATATAAAATAATTGGACTCTTATTTTACGACTATATAAAAATTATTTACAATTAAATATACAAATGAAGGATTCTTCTATTATTAATTCGTAATTTTAAAAACATAAATATTGGGCTGTTATATAATATACTATACAAAAATATTAATTTCAATTAATATTAAAAATTAAATGTTAAAATAAGAAATAATTAATGTAGTAATAGTAAAGTAATGGTTAAAAATTTGTTAATAAAAACTGGAATATTCCAGGGTGAGTTTAACATCTGTTCCCTCATGTATTTTATTTATTTAGTTTTTTATTGGGGCTTTTTTCGCGCAAATCCTCCAAGACACGTAAAGTTTTGTTTTTTTACCTTGTTTCTCATGAGCAGAAGTTTTTATCTAACTTACCAAGATAGTGGGATACAGATAGGAGCCTATTTCAAATGGCAATTTCATCGATTTAAATTCTTTGAAAGATTTTTGACTCTGATTTAACGGTTTTTAATTGTTTTTCAACTGTTTTCTAGTTATTACAAATTCTCCAGTTATTGTTGTTGTGTAACATTGCTTTTCGGAAAAACGAAATCTTCTCCAAATTTTTCAATCAAGAACCAATTTATTGATTTAATGATACCATTTTATGTTTTCACAAAAATAGCAAATGTACAGGAATTTTACTTTACATATTTATATTTTCTATCATCTATGTTTTTTATTGATTTAAGAAAAGAGTGAATTTGAAATTTAAAAAAAAGTTCATTTGACCGAAAAAAAACTTTAAATTCACCTACGTTTATTTCAACCCTTATTGTGTGTATTTTCATTCCAATGTTGGCCATTTTTGTTCGCTAGGCGGGAAAGAATTCAGTAAATTTAGTAAATTTATAAAGAGGAAGAACTATTCACGCAAACTGTGCTAATCGTGTTAATTGTGATAAGTGTGCTAAGTTGATTGCTCCTGACGAATAGTATATCGAAACTGATAGTACACTGGACACGAGTACGTTCTGGAGTTTGAAAACTTGGGTTTCGTTCACCCTTTTAAGCAAAGGCTCTGGTTTACTTTCGGTCTGTCAGTTGTCTATAATGTAAGTGTTACCTAAATATACAGAAAAGAAGAAACATATTAGACTAAGGAAGGAAGTATCAAAAATGTCGTCCAAGCAGTCTAAAATTCAATTTTATTTGAAGGTTAATTCACTATTTTCGTGGTCCGCTTGACCAATTAACACAAGACAATTAATTAAGGTTTTTAGTTGAGATGAAAAAAAGTTAATGGCACGAGAGGGATTCGAACCCACGACCTTCGGCTAGATACGCCGCTGCTCTACCACCTGAGCTATCGTGACCTTAACTTTTTAACTTTTCTCGTGCCATTAACTTTTTTTCATCTCAACTAAAAACCTTAATTAATTGTAATGTGTTAATTGGTCAAGCCGACCACGAAAATAGTGTATTAATGATTTAAAAATGAAGTACACTTCACTAAAGCTCTCCGTCGCCATTTCAATTGTCGTCGAGAATCCAAACCGATTACACATTTGAAAAATGGCAAAAGGAGGGAAAACTCATAAGGTGGGGTTGAGATGGGGAGTTGATGTCCGAGTGGATCGAGGTCACGATAGCTCAAGTGGTAGAGCAGCGGCGTATCTAACCGAAGGTCGTGGGTTCGAATCCCTCTCGTGCCATTAACTTTTTTTCATCTCAACTAAAAACCTTAATTAATTGTAATTTATTTGAAGAATTTTCAACTGTTCATTTTTAGACAAATAAATTAGTTGTCTTTTTATTTATCTTTTATGAAAATCGATTAATCGTTGGTAATCACGAACAAAACCACACCAAACCAATCTAAAAAAGTCATTCGTACTTTCATAACACAATAACAACAGACTAGAGGGGCGACGGTGGCCGCAACGGTCTAGGCGTTGACACAGCGCTCATCACTGTAAGGTAAAGGTCCCGGGTTCGAATCCAACGGCCCTGCATTCGAACGCGACATACTTACAAATGGGCTTTTTTTTCAAAACACCGGCACCCTGAGGGGTGACCTGTGCTGTTGCGAACCCTCGTTAGAAAAAAAATACTAGAACGGTAGCGTAAATGCCTAAATACTTGAACCTCAGCACCCCTCCACAAGTACCTCCATGTGCAGCACGCCTGCCCAATATCGGTCCAAAAATGGACTTGCAAACTTTGTCTCTTTTGGTGCAGAGTCTTTTATTGTTTTGATTTTGTGCAATTTCTGATGCAAGTTCTTGTTTTGGTCCGGGGGAAAAAAGAGAAAAAAACTAGAACAACCTATAACACATACGAAACTTACTAATCATACTTGCAAAGGTGAAACTTAACTTGATGGGATGTTTTCCAGTGCTGGGTTTGCCATCGATTTTTGATTAATTGAAAAACCGTAACTGGTTTCATGCGGCTATATCAAACATAGTTAAGCGTAGAGAAAAATTATTGGCAAAAAACCAATCAAGTGATTGTCAATATTTATAAATTTTGGTTCACAGCATTGTTTATTGAAAGCGTGGACCAACTCGACCACTAATGGCCAAAATTCAACACAGATGGAACTTAATCAATAGCAGAAGTGTCATGTGTGTTAGTTGAGATATAAGTTAAAATGAAGTACTGGTTAAAATAACTCACTTTTCGGCTTTCGCTGGGCATGTTTCGCACGATTTTCGTTGTGCACATCTCTGAGGGTAGGTTCGGACTGAAGTGGGCCCTAAACTCCCTCGTTTATTTATAGTGTGCAGGGTGGGAAACAGGTAGCTGGTACATGAATGAACTCCCTTTGTCATGGGATCCACCATTCAAACGGACACTCCACTCAATGAATTTCTTAAGTTGAATTGAGCGCACCGTTTTAAATACGCTCTTAATACCACTCGAGGATGGGAAAAAGACACCTGTGGACGCGCGACCGGACCACACAAAGTTTACCACTTTTCAAGCTCGGATGGAAAGTGATATAGAAAGTGTGGTAATCGCCCCTCCGTGAGTTTTTTTTTTTTAGATTTGTCCTCTGCTTGAAATCGAAATTTGATCTAAGCCAGTACATCCGTGATGCCAGATCCTCGACAGGATCAAATAATCCCAAGATAAATTCGTTCTGAATTGGTTAAATTCAACTTCATTAGAAAGTCCGCTTCATCCGAACACAATTGGCAAATTGAACTTTTACTTGGCAAACCATACGTATTTGCATTATCCAGTTAAATTTTGATGGTATTAATGATCAATTATTTTGGCCTAGCACACTCCAAATTCTATTGTCTGTAATAACCCGTAGTTTGTGTTTCCAACGATTTTGAGTTTAGGTTACCCGCCATCCAAGTGGCAGATTGGCAAAAAAAAAAATTCATCCATATTTCAAAGGGCGAGAAGTTTTTTCCATTTGGAGTCGAAAGGATGTAGTGTCTATTTGCACTTAAAATTTCGTCTATTGTGTCCAATTATTACTACTCGTTTTCCTGGAAAATTTTCGCTTCTTTTATTAAGTAATGACTTCTTCTCAGGTGAAATCTAGGTCCATATTGCGCAATAATCGCATTCCCAGGTAGCATATAGTCATTTCCTAGCTATTGCACGGCAGTTGCCTTCGTCTCTTGTAGACAAAGTTGACATTGTGACCCAGTAAACACAAAAATATTATTAAAACGGAATATGTTGAGACGCCAAAATGCATTGGTCAGACCAAAAACCGATCATGGGCACAACAAATTTCATCCTCCGGTAGCTTTTTCAAACTTCCAGCATATTTTTCAACATACATGTGTGTATATTACCTGATCTCGTGTGTCTATACAATCATTTCTTGTTAAAGCAGACTTGTTTTACTGGAGTTTTTCGGTTAATCGAACTTTCTGCTAACTGAACACCGCTCGACCAATTAGTTCGGACTCCGCTGTATCTGGTCAAGCTATATCCCAAAATTTTGGTCTATACTAGTTGTGGATTTGAGTGTTATTTCTTCATTAGTACACAACTTCACCAATGAAGATGGCGAGATACCGAAACATTTCTGACAGACCAAAACAGCGAGAATAGGCAGAGAAAAATGATCGGAAACGACCAAACAAGAGATTAATCAGTTCCAACAGAACTTATATCTTCAACAAAAGACCTCAACTTTGTTTAACTTAATTTCAACCTGTCTTATAAATATTGCTAGTCCCTGACAATGGCTGTTGTTGGCAACTCTATCTCCCCCCCCCAAAAAAAATATGTGTGTGTGTGTGTGTGTGTGTGTGGTGTTTAGTGACTGTTAGTTAATAATTATTTGGAGATCGTGAGATGCGGTCTGGTGTGACGTAGGTTTTAGAAAAACATTTTTTTATCGTGCCAACTGTGTCATTCTTGTGTGTCGTGTTGAGAGTGCCCAACGACACCCAAGAATGACACATCTACACAGAAAACAAACACTTTGAGCCCTGAAGATGATCTCAATAAAGATCGAAACGTTGGCACGATAAAAAAAAATGTTTTTCTAAAACCTACGTCACATCAGACAGCATTTCACGATCTCCAAATAATATATATACATTATTACATAACATGTACTTATTACATAACTATAAGTTGTCACTATTATAAAGACAATTTTATCAATGATTAATGGTCTATCTCCGGAAATAATTGCACGTTGGACCAAACAGCTTGACTTCAGAGTGTTGCGGGTTTGATAACGCGCCTTCCATTTAAATAAATAAATATGTATCCAGATTTTCCCCCCGATAATCTTTTGCTATGAATTACTTTAAACAATTTCATTATTAAATAAAACGATATTTTAAATAGGAAACGTTGTTTACTAAAGAGCACCGTAATCGTTTTATCAGTAATCACTAATCGAATTGTGAAGCCAAATTATTCATAATTATCAAGACTAATTAATATGTTAGAAAATTAAACAACCATATTAGTTGAAAACTAATAGTTCAATATTTAAATAAATAAAACAGCAATAAGGTTTTCAACAATTAAACGATGTCTCTACAAAATAGTGACTTTATTTTTGTGTTTTTATAAATTTTTTTAAAAATAAACATTGTACAAAACTGTAAACGGAAAATTTGATACATAATTGAGTTCAATCGTAATAAATGTAATGTTGTTTTAATTAAGATTTCATATCAAATATTGGTGGGTCGTAAGATGAGAGCAGACTGTTTTCTTGCAAGGCTACATTTAAATATTAAGAACAGTTTTATATTCAATCTTTTCTATATAAAGGACATTTTTTAGCCAGTTAGCCTAGTTATATTATAAATAGACTTTACGTTAAATGTGTCAAACGTAAAAAAAAAAACAAAAAAAAACAAACGAAATCAACCATGTACAAAATGTTTAACGCATGAAACTGCCCAATTTTGATTTTTTTCATATACATTTTTTTAAATAAAATTTAAAGTGAAATGTAAATAAATAATATTACTTCTACTAGACGGTTGGATTGTAACGGTCTTATTCCCACGACTGGGATGGGCGTATCCGAGACTCTTTTACATAACGAACCAACGTCTTGGGCAACCCTTCATCACAGGGGCTTCCGATCTCGTACATCCTTTCCTTTTGTCATCGCTCCTAATCCTTGTGTTATCTATTATTATAAACTCTCTATTCGAACTTTTTTTTAACTTTTTTTTATTGGTATCTGCGATTTGGAGAGAGACACGTGGTGAAAGTAGGACATCGGCGATGAAATTGTTTAAATGGTCCTGAATAATAAAAAACAAAGCAAAGTAGCTTATACCCGAATTTCATCAATGAAGACACTTAAGGTAGGTTACGAAAGTGGTCTAACTGGCTTTAATTGAATTTTTTTACCGTACTAAGCCCAAATTTTAGACTCTTGTCCGAGCGTTTTTTCCCAATGAGCCATCTGAGCCAAGAAAAAATGTTCAGTAATTTAAATAATTATTTTTTAATAGAGGTCTTTGTTGTGCATGTACTTCAAGTTACTACACAATATAATTCCATTCAGTTGTTAGGTAGGAAAAGACTATAATATATGTAATAATACGCAGGATCATATTAAATAAGATACGTAAAAACCAAAAGCGGCCAAGCAAAATATTGTTGAAAAACAAATTCAGATTCGTTTTAAGCATCTTCTAAAAAATGATAATACGAATTTTCATAACGAACAAAAAATTAATTTTTCTTCTTTAAGCCTTTGTCGGCAAGGTTTCGATTTTAAGTGATAATAAGTGAGAAAAAAAGATGAAATCCATACAAACTCGCCTAACGTTTTATTTTATACATCCAGTTATAATTTATTAAGCCCAAGGTTGTGCCATTAATTATAGTTTATAGAGTTCTAAATCCCTGTAACGTTTCCTGTGGATCGTCGAGTTGTTTCAAAGTTGTCATTATTTTTGTGATTTTCGAAAAATCTGAGTTTATTGGGAGGCAAACTAGGATAATTTTTTTTTATATTCCTAAAAAATTTGAATTCAGAGTTTGTTGGGAACGCAGAAAACGAATTTCAACTTTTCGAAATTTATGGGATTTGGAATCTCCCATCAACCAGTATAGTTGTCTACACCTAAAACCTATTTCTGTCCTTTTTTTCTTGACGTGTTCTTTCCATCTCAGCTTGGCATCTAAGGTCATTCCCAGATATTTAACTGTATCACTGTATGGTATTTCGAATTGTGAGCGGAACATGGTCCACTTTTTTGTTTGTAAAGTTTATACGTACTGATGATTGAGCTTGATTTTACACTTTTTTGTCCATTACTTTATCTTATTAAAAGCATTTTGGAGGATTTTGGTTGAACGATTGATAATTAGCCCTACTGATATTACCGCTGTGTCATTTGCAAACGTTGCAATTTTTACTCCATCTATTTTTGGAAAATCACTAGTGTAAGGAATTGACCTAATATGCTACCTTGTGGCACTCCATTTATTGTTTTGAATTTCGAATATTGATCTTCTTGTTTGTCTCTAAACAGTTTGTCTATTGTAACAGTCGTTATATTGCAAAGTATGTAAAATTTAAAAAAAATTAAAACGTGATGGAAAAAATAAAAACATTAGTCAATAAAAATAAAAAATTCAAACAATACATTAGTTTATTGAGAATCATATAGATCATCGTGAAATCATAATCATTGAATGAAAATATTTATACAAATTGAAATTAATGCATGAAACTAGGTGTATTAAATTTAAACAATTAATATCGTGCATAATGTCCTCTGTTAGCTAAAACCTCTGTGCACCTGTTAGGCATACTTTTAATAAGTCACTAATTTCATAAGGAATTTCACTCCATAGATGTTGCAACGCTGCACTCAGTTGTTGCAGGTCAACTGGCTGCGGATGGTGATCGAAAAGCCTTCCCTGCAACGCATCCCACATGTGCTCGATGGGATTGAGGTCTGGAGACATGGGGGAAGTGGCACATGGGAAATTCCCAGGTTTTCTAAACATCGCTGAACAACTCTGCCTGTATGAGGTCTGGCATCGTCATCCAGAAACCGAAAATCCCTGCCAATGAGATCCCTGGTTTGAGGGATGTATTCCTCGATTATTATTTTGGACATAACTGACTGCGGTTGCTTCAACAGTCATTACTCGTCCTCCTCCAAACTGCACTGAAGGGAGCACGAACTGGAGCATTGTTCGCATCCTCTGTTCTAGGTAGGCTCTTCGGCGCCTGCTATCATTTATACAGACAGAAACGCGTCTCAGTAAACATAACAGCATTCCAATTGGTGTCCTCTTCTAGGCGCTCGCGGCACCATATTCTCCTGAGTTGCTGGTGGCGGGCTGTTGCTGCAGGCCGTCTCAAAGGGGCATACGATGTGATGCCAATTTTCCCACAAACGATTCGTAATAATTGATAAAGGCCTTGCTAAAACATCTTGTACTTCATTTAGGATCTGGCGGGCGCTATGGAAAGGCTTCCGTCTTGCAGCAATGACAATATTTCTGTCCTCACTGAAATCCACTATCAGGCTTCCTTGGCACTTGACACCTTTCCAATATCCACTTGCCGGTGACCTCGATGACCCCTTCTCACAATAAAATTACGAACTTCTGATCTTTTCTCGGTTAAGTGAGATAGTGTGAGAGAGGGTGATAGTGAGAATGTCGAAAGTCAGAGTAAAATAGAGGCAGAAAACAAAAGAAGCTGAAAAAAGGCAGAAAGAGAATCACAAATCTGTGATTGCTATGAAAAGTGGTTAAATCTAAAATTTAAATTTTCATGAAGTCGTGTATACAATCACATTTTTCCCCAAAACGCAGTCACGGATAAAACGAATATGTTGGTTCTTTGCATATCTTCACAACACTAGCAAAGCTTTCTAAAGTCGTTTTGATAATTTCTATGCATGTTAATTTTCATAAATCATCCGGAATCAACAGACTGCTATCATTGAAAATTGTATTGCCATATTAACTGTAGGAACCAATCAGACTTCACTCAGTACAGTAAGACTACTTATTTTGTTTTAATTAATATTTATATTCATATGTTTACTTATTTGTATTCCAATAGGATATATCTTACTTACTGGAGAGAGCAGCACAGACATAATAATAATTGAAAAGAAAAATTGTGCTTCTGTAGGTAATGACCATTTCACTTGATTGCTCAGGCAAAGGAGAAAAAAAATCGCTTGTCCCATTCAGAATCTCGTCCACTTGGTTTCCTCCTCTGAATCGAACAATCCTCCGGTTGGAGGTCTAACGAACCGTTTTTCCTCCGACAAAGAATTCAGAAGCATGACGGGCTGCAGGTTAGAATATGTCAAAGGATGCCGACCGAATCACCAACTGTTTTATGCCTAATACCACCGAACGGTTTTGTAGGAAGAAGCGGTCCGATGCTTCAAAACTGAGTAAAAACACCAAGTTTTTCGTGAAAAATTAAACTTTTGTTTTAGCTTTTAACCTTTAAATAAAGCTGATTGTAAAGCTTAATGCATTATAGAATTCTAACAAGTAACCAAATTAATTAATTTAGCATTCAAGATAAATAATGTGTCTTCCATTTAATTATTTAACAATTATATTGTTTTTAAAGTAAGAAATAAAATATATAAAACAAGTCTGAAACATCAATTTCCAATTGGCAATTCGATGGATTTGCATCCTTTTGTGCCATACACATTTTGTAATCATCAGACAGATATATATAATATAAAAGGAAAAGAACTTCAATTCTTCAAAAAAACTTCTTAAAGGAAAATAATTTTATTCGAATTTAAAGGTTTAGTCGAAGAAATCAAATTTATTTTTTATTTTTTTAAAGAGATATCGCCAGTACTGTTCTTATTTCTCGTCTGCTGAAAGTTCGAGGCGGTCGTACCATCTCTTTACCCCTAACAAGTACTTCATTGAGAGGGTGTAAAGGGTCAGTTTATGCCCTTTTTTCATTTGTACCAAGACACGTTGAACGGTGTTTACCTGAAACGGGGGTCTTTTGTCGTCCTAAGGGCCATTGAGCCCTGGACCTATTGACTCGGGAGTCATTCACAAAACTCGTGAGAACGGAAACCGAAGAAATGGACGCACAAGAAAAATCCTCTAGTTGTTGACGTTTAAAAAATTAACTAGATAGACACAATTGAATTTTCTAAAAGCGAGAAATTCATTGAAAAAGACACTTTTAACACAGACACTAATTAAATTTTGATATTGAAACCGTCGCTAAGAGGGTGCAGGGCGAGCTTTTCATCGTTAATCAATAAATATAAAATATTAGAGCGTGTAGTTAAACAATAAAAAAAATCTTTCAAGTGCTAAGACAAGCCTTTGGTGGAAAATGATTTTACATTAGATTATCTGGGAGGATATTTTGAACATACCATGGAAAACATCAATCATAAATTATGGGAAAGCATACTGAAGATTCAATATCACATGGAAGCTTCGATATACACGGCAATCCTAGATAGTTCTGAAGAATTTTAATTATTTTTTGGATTCGTGAATCGTGAAGAGCGGTCAAGAAAAATCTTCTGGCCGCTCCTCACGAATCCAATAAATTATTAAACAACCGGTCACTAAAAAACACAGAGTTCGGAAGTGTGATGAGCCTCTAATCTTCACATAGAGCAACTTCAAATATTCCACCTTGAGAACGATATCACCTAAAACCTAAACATAGATTTAAATGTGGAAATCATAGAGTAGTTCAGTATACATACCATAAAGAAGTACAGGATGAACAATTGCAGTCATCAGTGAACATAAGAATTCATCCTGGTCACAGACGCCATCATTCTGTATAATACATTTTTTCAAACTCAATAATACCTTACCACATAATAATTATTATTTGCACGATTTACTATAAATATAAACACATTTTTAATTTATAATTTCATCGTTTCCGATCATTTCGGTTTGTTAGATGAGTTTGATGAGATCAGTACACACTACCACTGAAGGCACAGTTAATAAGAGATAAAGATAGAGGGAGAGAGTAGGAGAGAGAAAGAGAGAGAGAGAGAGAAAAGAGAGAGAGAGTAAAAGGAAAAGGGAGAGAAGAGAGAAAGATAAAGTAGAGGGAGAGAGAATGAGAGGTAGAGAGAAAGAGAAAGATAGAGAGAGAGTTAGAGAGGAGAGAAAAGAAAGAGAGAACGACAAAGAGAGAGTGAGTGAAAGGAAAAGAGAGACAAAAGATAAAGATAAGTTAGAGGGAGAGAGAGTGAGAGATAGATAGATAGAGAGAGAGAGAAAAAAAAATAAAGATAGAGGGAGAGAGTGAGAGAGATAAAGATAGATTCTAATTTATTATACATTAATTACTTCGAATAACTTCATTTTTTGGTTCCCTCGGGAGGGAGAAAGAGAGACAGAGAGAGAGAGAGAGAGAGAGAGAGAGAGAGAGAGAGAGAGAGAGAGANAGAGAGAAAGAGAGAGAGAGAGAGAGAGAGAGAGAGAGAGAAAGAGAAAGATAATGATAGAGGGGAGAGAGAGAGAGAGAGAAAGAGAAGGTAAAACATAAAGCTAGAGGAAGTAAGAGAAAGAGAGAAATTTATAGATTGATAGATATAGTTAGATATATAGATAGAGGTAGATAGATGAAGATAGATTGATAAAAATAGATATAGACATAGATATATAGATGCATAGATAATTACAGAGAGAGCAGAGAAAGAGAGAGATAAAGATAGATAGATAGATGATAGATAGTTAGATGAAAGAGATAGATAGAGATAGAGAGATAGAAAAAGAGAAAGATAAAGATAGAGGGGAGAGGGAGAGAGAGAAAAAGAGAGAGAAGGTAAAACATAAAGCTGGAGTAGTAAGAGAAAGAGAGATATTGATAGATATAGTTAGATATACAGATGGAGATAGATTGATAAAAATAGAGAGACACATAGATAGATACAGAGAGAGCAGAGAGAGTGAGAGAGAGAGAGAGAGAGTGAGGGGGGAGAGAGAGATACAGAGTGAGAGGGAGAGGGAGTGATTTATGAAAGGAAACAATGGGAATCGCTCATTGGCCAAGCAAACCGAAAATTGCAAGAGTAAATCACAATGATTACAATTATTTTCATTATTAAATTAGTTCTTTTTTTCTCTTTGAATGTGGCCTGCTTTGGCAAAAAAAACTAAACTAAGATAAGCTGACAAGAATATTTGGAAACGACCAAATTGCAAAAACAAACTGTGCTAAAAACAGTGATTGTTGAAAAGTATTTTTAAAAAAGAAGCTAAGACCCCGATTTTCAACATAACAAACATAACCACTATTTTTTAATACTATAAAATGTATTTTAATTATACTAGACTAAAGATATGATACTATATAAGATTTTATTAATGTGTTATTTATTGGAGTTGTTGGATAGGGGTTTGACATTTTTTCAAAAAAGGACGTGCACGAATCTGATTTTTTTTATATTCTTTTAATTGGTAATTTAATCGTTCTAAAGACGAATACAAGGTGTTAGCTGTTTCTTTGGGTAAACGAGTTGAGAAAGGCTCGGAAAGCGGGCGAGCGAGTCAGGAGTATTTTTTTGTTTCCGTCGCCTTCTTCGTCGACGGAGCTGCTTTCGCTGCCGGATGTCGTCGTCCGCGGTTCTTCCGGACTAGAAATGTAAAAATTAGTCGACTTGACCAACTGATATGGATGACGGTTTACCTTTCGACGTTTGACTGAACGGCGTTGGACTGGACGGCGATGAAAAGATCGTTGAGATTGTTGCAGATTGTGAGCGGACCGTCGCCAACGGCCATCCTCAGAGAGCGTATGTCGCTGTGAAGGATGCATTTCGTCCCACATACGGATGACTTACTGCATAGTGAGCTTTCGCTTTTGAAAGTCCCTTCTGCCGGAGGATTGTCTGGCAAGCACATACTCTCGATTTGATCCAGTTCGGTTTTTAAGTCATTCTCGCCACTCTTCACATCGTCCTCTTCTCTAACTCTCTTTAGCTCTCTGGAAAAAACATCTATGTACGCACAAAGTAACACCCGGGCTGAAATGTTCACTTACGAATCGATCATGTCCTCAATGAGCTGTCTTTGCTCCTTATCTCTTTGCGTCACGCCTTTTGCCTTTTCCATCATATCGGATGCAAGCCTGACCGCCATGTCTCGCTCTGCTTTCATATCTTTCATCTGGTTCTTGAGCACCTCAATCTCGGACCGGGCGCTATCCAGACTGTCCACCAGCTTTTTTTTCTCTTTGAAAGCGCTCTCTGACAGCTTCTCCTCCCGTTCTCTCCTCAGTTGCTCGATTTCTCGGCTCAAATCGTTCTTTTCCTAATTGCCACGAGTCTTTTATTTCGATAACCAATTTTCCAACATAGTCGACTTACCTCTAGAGCAATCTTTAACTGAATTTCGGACTCTTCTGATTCTTTTTTAATTTGAACCGATTCTTCTTTCCAGATAGCTATCATTTCTCCGTCCTTCTTCTGCTCTATTAAAGCAAGTGTTTCTTCTAGCTCGGCCCTTGATCTGTTATCAATGGGATGTCCATTAACCATTATCAAATATAGAAGTTGACAGCTAACAACATGGTTAGTTTCAACACATTCATAAATAAATGATTTTTCAAAATAAATTCGATTCATAGGTACTCTTTAAGATCAAACGCACACACCAAAGTGTTGTTTTGTGGTCATAAGTTAGTTTTGTATAACGCAATTTGTACCATCTTTACTTGTGTAAAGCACACTTCTATAAAGCATTTATCCACGATTATAAAAAAATAACTACAACAGGTAAACATAATATTTTGCTTTCTTTTTTATGACGACACAGTAATTGATTTCCTATACAGGGTGTCCCGTGAACAGACGTCAATACTTCAGGACGTTATTCTACATGTCAAATTTGACTAAAAAGTCCCTATTGTACAATGTCTGCATCTTAATTGTATTCAAGATATTTCAATTTTCATATCAAACTTTCCCAACTTTATTCCATAAAGTATATACATCTCTCATGAAAAGTTAATCCTGTATAAATTAGCTTTCACCCAATGAAAATGTCATTAAAAACTTTATGAAATCCAATTGTGTTTTTTATTTTAATCTTAAACAAACGAAACAAAAAATCACTAAGGCGAAATTTTTCAAGTTTCCAACTTTATCGTCTGAAGTTAAAGTAAGATTTTCTTGGTTTTGCAAACGCTGGCAGATATGGCATTTGCAGAAATGTTGCCCCTCCTAGTTAAGATACATTAAATTTTTTTCAAAAGTCAATTATCACCAATGTAAAATTAACGTTTAATTGCTAAACATGTGATTTGTAGATTACAAACGTTTAAAACAATTCATTCATTAAGATTTTGAAACTTATTTTTTTAAACAACCAATAAAAGTTTAACAAAATTGTGCAAAAGTGGCCATAAAAATAAACCAAAAGCTTTAAAAAATGAAATTAAAGGTTCAAAATTTACAGCTCTTTGAAGAATGCAAGTCTAACATAGTTTCTTGATAGAATTGGAGCTTTTAATTAATTTTTTTAAATCTTTGCAGCTTACTTTAATTTTGCACTAAAAAACTTTTTTGTTTATTTTTATTATTTTTTAAGAGAAGTTTCAAATTTAATGATGACTTAATGACTATTTTGTAAAGCAAAAATCAATTTTTCATCAATTAAACGTTAATTTTACATTACTAATAACTTTTCAATTAATTAAGGTTTTGGTTGTGATAAAAAAGTATGTCACAAGCGGGATTCGAACCCACGACCTTCGTCTAAATACGCCGATGCTCTACCACTTGAGCTATCGTGACTTCGATCCACTCGGACAAAAGGTGGGGTTGAGATGAGAAGTTAGTGTCTGAGAGGATCGAAGTCACGATAGTTCAAGTGGTAGAGCAGAGGCGTATTTAGCCGAAGGTCGTGGGTTCGAATCCCGCTTGTGACACTGGCTTTTTTATCTCAACCAAAACCTTAATTGAAAATAATTCATTTGGTCAAGCGAACCACGAAACCTAATTAAATTGCTAATAACCTTTGATAGTGAGGAATTTTTTGTCCAATTTGACATTGTAGGATATCCTCTGGAAGTAATGACGTCTGTTTACAAGACAGCCTGTGTAATAAAATACTTAAAACAGCACCTGTTTGCTTTTTCCAGTTCAGTCTTCAACGTCTCAACAGCTTCCATGAGAGTGTCAGTATTTTTTCCATTACTAGACGGGGCAAGTCTACAAATCACAGCCAATGTTTAAAAGTCAAGAGAAGACCGGGTTTCTAGTTCTACTTACTGTTCTCTGGTACCGGGTAACCAAAACTGATCATTTGGCTTATTTAAGAAAAGAGAGGACCATGTCTCGTCTTTGCCCTTGCACTCATCGGCCTCTTTCCGTTCGCAGAACTAAACACATTCTAATTAACTGGAATACGGGTTTAAATTAAGATTTATTGCTTACCTTATTTTTCACAGTCGTCACTACAAAGCAAAAGGCGATCAAAGTGGCCAAGATGACGTACACACCCCTCGATAAAAGCAGCGATATCCATTCGCTAAACGTGATCACAGTATCTTCGAGAATTGCTGGAAAAGACAAAAAACACGTGTGCGGTGGTTCAAAGCGTCGGAAGTACAAAGTGAAATTTACCTGGAGTAAATTGGATGGCGTATGCGGATGAGAGGTTGAGCAGCAAAAACAGGTTGTACATTTTGGGGCTAGCCTATCGACTTGTCAAGCATATCGTCCTTGTAGTAAGCTTTTTGTCCTAGACTATTAACATAATGTACTTTTCCAAACTATGTTCAACATTTGTTGTAATAAAACAGATGTGCACTTGAGGAAAATATTTTCACAACTGCTCGAAAAATGAAATTGTGATATGGTTGACTTGAAAAAATAAATTATTTATTAAAGAATGAAACGGATGATCTTATACGAATATATATCGATAGTGTATTTTAAGTTTCAAACCATCTCCGTTCACCAAAAGTCAAATTTGATCTTTTTTAGATATTGCCGGAAAGAATTTGAATAATTAACTAACTAAAACAACTAACTACAGGGCGTGATTTTTTTAAAGTTAGAATCGATTTTGTATTATTGATATTCAAAAATGCAAAAGCTAAAATTTATGTTTTTTCCATCTTAATTTTTTATTCGTGGAAAATAGTTATATTCATAGAATGTGTTTCTTTAAAACAGATATCAGGGGCGTCGGAGGCCGCAACGGTTTAGGCGTTAACACGGCGCTCATCACTGTAAGGTGAAGGTTCCGGGTTCGAATCCAGCGGTCCTGCATTCAACCCGACATACTTACAAATCGGCTTTTTATCAAAAATACCGGCACCCCAAAGGTTGATCTAACCTCTGCTGTTGCGAACTCTCGTAAAAAAACAAAACAAAAAAAAAGATATTGTTAAATAATTACTAACAAGGGGGGTTGCAGTAGCCGAGTGGTCGGGCTGGATTCGAATCCCGCCGTATCCTTATATGAAAAATGAAAGTATGCCATTACAAGAAAAAAAGTCTAAACGGTCTTTTTTATATTACTTTAGAAACAACCGATCAAGGATGTCCAGGGCTTCAAGTAGCACAAAAATCCTTAGAGAAATTTAACCAGATTTATGGTTGCGATATAGATGCGGTTAGAGGCAGCGGAATAATATTGCGAGAATTTCTGCAAAATAAAGGATGTTATATCAAAACTCTTCTGCTACATCAATTGAAAAGGCCAAAATCGAATGAAAAAATAATGGAAACCCAAAATATGTCAGTTATTGATAGTATTGGTGTTAACAATTAAAAAACTAGAAGCTACTAGAGGAGAATTTGGCAATAAAACAAGAAAATAAGATGGGAAGATGTGTTGCTTAAAACCCCTGGATTCAAAGAACTAAAGAACATGTCTTAAATCTAGAAGAGGAAGAAACTCCAGTACTAGAAATGGATTTACACCCAAATGAAATGTGAAGTTTTTAAATCCGTTCCAATAAAATTGGTTGATCCTTTAGCAGATACAAATCAATTGTAAGACCTGATAGTCGCCGTTGCAATTTCGAAAATTTAAATGATCATATTATTACCAATAATTTTAAAGAATAACAAAGTTATATTGTAGTATAAGCAGCTGTCAGAGTTAGGTAGGCTGTATTGTGAAGGGGTAACGAAATGAGCTGAAGTCCTCTAGTACTACTGACCTGGTTAAAATGTGGGAGGCAATCAAAAGAAACTATTTTGTAATCCGTGACACAAGACTGGATTTAGACTTAGGGCCGAAACTGCATAAATTGTTCTAATATGACAACCTATGAACTTGGTGTTAAGGGCGAGGGGTGAATCTCTGCAGCTGAATTGTCAGCCGCGGAGTCAGGACCGCGTCATCATTTGCTCTTTACGCAACCTCGATGTCCCAGAAGATACTTTTCAGTTTGTGGGGGTATGCCCTATTCTAAGAGAGTTCCGTTCATATATATAAAGAGGTGCTTTGGGAAGCACAAGCTAAGTAAAGAGGACGTTACAATCCTTCAATGGAACAGATAACAGGAATTTTGTGGCGTACTTTATTCAAGTCCTTCGTTGTAGGAAATATCTGATTGACCACTTCAATTACTAAAATCAATCAAATAAACAAATAGTGAATAGGTTAATAAAAGAATTATAATAAAAATAAATAAATAAACAAGCTTAGATGTAGGTGTATTAGTCGGGGTGTAATATACTGCTATTATCCCCCGTTCTGTGCCTACAGCTCCCTATAGCACACCGGTAAATCCTATTTCATGAAGGAACTTGATTAGCAGGCCAACAGTTTCAGGGTTGAATTTCTTCTACGGTCACATTGTACGTCCCAAAGCACTTCCTCCTGCGGGCAAGTGTAGCACAGTGTGTTAATAGGTATGTTGATGTCTCCTTTGCTTCTTTGCAGAATCTGCATGTGCCGTCTTGGGTTATACCAAACTTCTTTATATGTCCGTTTAGTTTGCAGTGTCTTGTTAGGATTCGGAGTTTTTTCCTGTTTACTTTGATACATTCTATTACTTCTTTACTTCCGAAAGAAAATTTTGTTAGGATGATCTTGGATTGTTTGTGTCCAATGAATGAGTTCCATTGTTCCCTTATTTTCTTTTTATCCTTCTGTCTGAGATACTCATTGATAATGTGGGTTCCTGTCCCACCGAAAGCTTCGGGTCCTATCAGCGGTATAGCAGCCCCTTTTCTGGGGTGTCCGCTTTCTCGTTGCCTCCTACTCCCATATGTCCTGGGATCCAGTAGAAGCGTCCCTAATGTGTTTAATTTGGTTTTGCAGTTCAACACCATCTTTGATGAAATGATGTTTGAGTTTGGTGCTTTGATGGCTGTTTGGCTATCTGACATGATATAATAAATTCTATGTTCTTGTTTTTGTACCCTTTAGTCAAGTTGAATTGAGTACATCTATCGACTACGTAGATCTCGGCTTGGAAGATACTGGTGTATTTTTCTTTGGGTTCTGAGCATTTACCCCCGTACCTTCTTGTGTTCTAGATTCATCTGGTAATGGTTCCGTACTTAAAGGAAGTGTTTTCCTCTCGTTCCTATTCGATTTTGGCACCTAAGTTTATTTGGAAATTTTGATTAAATTCAAACAACCTGTTCATGTCGTCTCTTGGGGCCATGAGTATCGGAAGGTCATTCATTAATAAATGAATTCAAATAAATATAGAAATTGATAGAAGCACAATATTAAATTTTTGTAAGAAAAAATATAATAGTAATAATTTAATAAAAATAACTATAAAATGGTAACTCGACAGACGGCTAAGGCCATTGTCAATAATTTTTCATGAAATTTAAAATTAATTTATACCTTCTTGTATAAATAAAGCATATTTATTCATTCTTTCAATTTTAAAGAATGAAATTAGTTTCAATTTTTGTTTGTTATTTTAAAATTCTTCAACTTAAAGCCAACTTTATTTTGTTTTTATTTTTAAAATATTTTCTCGTTTCATATCTTTATTATACTAAAAACCAATACATATTTTATCAAAAATAAAGACGTATATTTGTACATTTTTTGACTTTTTAATACATAAAATAATATAACCCTAATAATAGCCTTGGAATGCAAACGCAACAAAGACAGAATACATAAATAATTTTTTTTAAATAGCTTCAAGTATATTTTTTCCCTGCTCCAGTTTCCATTTTCAATTTAAGAACCATTCTGGAATATGTTAAATGTGTTATGAATTGTCAGTCTTACTTTATTTTCATTTAAATTCACTATTTTTCGTGGTCCGCTTGACCAATTATTGACACTGACTTTTTTGTCTCAACTTAAAACCTTGATTAATTGAATTTTATTATCATTATTGATTTTATTTTTTGTTCAATTTATAAAAACAGAAAATGAAGTGCATGAGGATAATTAGGCTAATCTTGGTTTTAACTCGGCAGCGGGCTAGTTCGTTTCTTTGTTCTTTCAAGTTGGAGGCTGGCGGGAAAGAAAAACGGTCAAAAACTTTTCACCGATCTTCCAAAAATCGGACTTCAAGAAAAAGGCAGGGCGTGTGCCCGGAGTGATTTATGACCCGGATGGGGAACCTCTCCAGGTAGAGAGGGCCGGCAAAGTTTCCCGCACGTTTTCCAATAGAATAATAATGGTGTTAAGAAAACTATTACCTCATTCGCCAGTCAAAAATTGAAATTGATAACATAAAAAAACTTTTTGACGTTAAATATCATCTTAAAACGAAAATTTTCGTTTACCTTACAAAATTTACTTTGATCGTTTAAGGTTTTATGACATAAATATTAGGGCTATTCATGCAAATTGGTCTAATGATGTTAATTGTGCCAATTTCAAGATTGAGAAAAGAAGGATGAAAGAGATAGACAGAACAGGATAAATTTCAAACGATTTTCTCAATTCAAATCGAAGGATTTCCAACCAGTCGCTTTTAAGCAAATAATCAATCAACTCTGCTATATTTATAAAAAAACGATAAATGGATTTATATTAAACCAGTCTAATTTACAATGGACAACATGAATCGACATAATTTTTAGGAGTTTATTGTCAGACATATTAAACAAATGAAGTTCAAGGTGTTTGTAAATATAGAAGAGTAGTTAATTTCTCAGTATATAAAATAACACATTTGAAAAATGGTAAAAGGAGGGAAAACTCATAAGGTGGGGTTGAGATGGGGAGTTGATGTCCTAGTGGATCGAGGTCACGATAGCTCAGGTGGTAGTGCAGCGGCGTATCTAGCCGAAGGTCGTGGGTTCGAATCCCTCTCGTGCCATTACTCACGTATTCGCGGGACTCCGTCAGCTAGTCTGAGCGTCCTCAACGCTATACGCCTCGATTGTCCGATCCGTCGTATCCCGTGAGGTCGGGTGAATAACGATGGTCGTACGCAAATTTTGTGCGAAGGTCACAGATAGAAGACAGCATCTTCTCTAAGTACCCACCAGGGGTCTCACCACTGCCAACTACGAGTCCAGTCCCAGTGTAACAGGGGCAGAACCTTGGAACATTTCTGTTACCCCGTAGTACAGATGGTTTTGCACCCTCCCCAGTCTGTACAGACAGGATCTTGTACCCTAACCCACGTGTGCCTCTGATAAACCACCCGCCGCCCCATTCCGACCCGAGGCCGACACGAGTACAGCTTGTGTTTTAGAAAGGTTACCACGCCCTCAGGGCTACACCATTATTTTGCGCCCAGTCGGATCCACTCGGACACCAACTTCCCATCTCAATATAATAGGCTTAATATGTAAAACGAAGTATATCTTCACTAAAGATCTCCGTGTCCTCCCTCCTTTTTGTCATTTTTTAAATGACAAAAAGGAGGGAAAATTCGAACGGTAGGTTGAGATGGGAAGTTGGTGTACCAAGTTTCCCAAGGAAGTTGGTGTGGAAGAGCAGCGGCTTATTTAGCCGAAGGACAGACACTAGCTTTTTTATTTCAACCAATAAAGATTAATTAATTGAAAGAAGTTATTTGGTCAATTGGACCACGAAATATAATGGATTCCTTCTATCTTTGAACTGTACTCTTTCTTT